CCCACCTCTCTGTTTAGTGCTGCCTAGGGTTCTTCTCTCAGCAAGGCTTCAGCTGAGGAAGAGGATGGGAAGTGGGGTGCGGCAATTGCCTCTAATCCCAGAAGCAGAGAGGGGATGAGGGGACTCGTCTTTGCTGGTGGGAGATGGAGTAGGGGGAACAGGGGAGTATGTGTAAATAAGTACTTAGTGGACCCCCGTCCTTCTCAGGGGCACAGCCAGCTCAATTGCCCTCCTTGCTGAAATTCCCACTGAGTTGAAAGAAGGGCCCCGAAGATGACAGTCCCCCATGTTTATGGGTCAGGCTGACATAGTCCAGCAGAGGGCTGACTTTGGCTTAGGGAAAATGGGCATTCATGTTTTAGGGTGAGGACCAGAGGACATTAGGCTGGGCTATTTGAAGTGAGCCCAGCTTCTTGAGAGCCCCTGACCCCTATTTTCTTATGGGAGATTGGGACAATGGTATTCTCTCTCTCCAGGATGAAGTCTTGCTCAGTTACAGGAAGCACCAAAAGGAAAGTCGTTAAGCTTCTGATACCCAATCATGTCCCCCCAGACTTCCAGAATAACTATCTCATATGGTCGTCAAAACAGCATTGTAGGCACCTGGTCACCTAACTTAACATCCAGCTTCTGGGTACAGTTTCCTCCTATGCACTGCTGTCATCTTGATGCATTGCCCATGGCATGTAGAATAGTGACTGGGCATCACCATTTGCATTGCAGCAGCATAAAGCTGCCCAGTCTCTGGGCATACTCAGTAAGTTTCCTCTTGGGGAACAAGGCCTGGGAGAGACGCAGCACAGTAGGCCTGACAGGGCCTTCCAATGGCCCAGCCACTCTAATAATTTAAGAAGTCTCCAGGAACAGGTTGGACTTTCATCAGTAGCTTATATCTCAGGGGACTGTTGAAATGGAAAAGAAGTACATTTGCATTTACTGAATTCCTGTATAATTGTCCTAACAATTCTGTGAGTTAGGCATTCTCATCCCTGGTTTATAGTTGAAGCAGTAAATTCAGTGAGTCTAAGAAATTTGCTTAAATCCCAAGGCTGGTAATTATCTTATTTCCCTGAATTAGGAAAATAATTCTGGGTTTTAATTAGGATGGCTGGAACATAGAACCTACATTCAAATATTAGAACATAGACTCACAATCAACATGGAATCCACAATCTATTAAAAAAAAAAAAGCAAAACCAAGATAATGTTCAAATAATGATTAATTTAAAAAATGTTTTTAATTGAAATGTCATTCTTAATTAAATGTAAGTGGTGTACAGGTATGGAGAGTAGGAATACTGATAGATGAAGCACTAGGTCTTATATTTTACAGTAGCATAACAACCCCCTAAAAACCTTTTAATTTTTCTTATAAAAAATCTTTATTGAGCAACTGTAATGTGCTCTGCACTATCTCAGACTTTTTCCAGATGTTACCTCATTTCATTTTCATAATAAGCCTATGAAATCAGTACTATTATCCCTGTATTATGGATTGAAGGATTAAAAGCTTACAGAAGTTTAATAACTTGATCAGGATAATGTGAATGGTAAAGAGTAGAGCTCTCCTCACCCCTTTTTAAATGTCTTTTCTTTGTGTTCAGTTGCTTAGAGATTATAAACACTGCAAGGTGTTGGTCAGTAACACCACAAAATTCCAAGGTACTCTTATTTCTAAGCAAGTGTTGGGGGGAATAAAACTTTACAGAGTTACTTTACCTTTTAAAACATTCATCAATTTTAGTATGTTTAAAACACATAATTTAAGCTTCCAAATTGTTTATTCTACAGAGAGAGCTAAAAACTTGTGACCATAAAATTTGCTACATTAAGCACTTTTATCTATGAGCTTTTTACTTAGAAAACAAACAAAACTGCTCCAGCCTCAATCTCCCTCTTTTAGCCACTTTTACTTACACCAGAAAGTAATCCATTGGCTTTATTGGTTTTCTGCAGCCCTAAAGTATGAATGTTTGCCAGATTTGTTTCTTTGGTTTCCTTCTCTCAGGTGAAAAACATCCTGTCTTCCATGGATTTTCGGAATAACAAGAAAGAACGCATAAAGTAGAGATGCCAGAGCTTAGGATTGAAGCCCTGTTGCTTGGAGCATTGATGCTGGACATACAGCTTGTATTTAGTAGGAAGCACACTGCGGGTTCACGTCATCTTACAGCAAGACGCGGCCTTTGAGCTCTTCTCACCTAGCACAGTGCTTGGCACGGCACAGGCCCCAGCAAATATTTGTTTAATAATAAATGAATCTGAGGTGATGGAGCCCAGTGCAGCAGTGTTCCTTTCAGTCAGATGCAGAGAAGTTGGGGAGCCGCTGAGATGGCTCAAGGCTGTTGTTTTACGTAATAGGAAACTGAGCTATTGGAGTCAAGCTCATTGCAGTTGAGCAGCAATGTTGGTCTCTTCCACTCTCATCAACTTGAAGTATTTTCTAAAAATGGGACCCAGTGTCAGAAGGCCTGCTGTCAGTTTCCTGCTGATCTTGATACAAGTTTCAATTGAACTTTCCAACCAGGAAGTGAGGTCCCTCCTTATTACATTAAAATCAGTTGTTGGCCGGGCATGGTGGCTCACACCTGTAATCCTAGCACTGTGGGAGGCTGAGGCAGGAGGATCACTTGAGGTCAGGAGTTTGAGACCAGCCCGAGTGAAAGTGAGACCTCCCTCCCTCCCCCCGTCTCTACTAAAAAATAGAAAAATTAGCCCTGCATGGTGGCACATGCCTGTAGCCCCAGCTAGGCTGACACCACAGCACTCTAGCCCAGGCAACAGAGAGAGACTCTGTTTCAGAAAAAAAAAAAAAAAATCAGTTGTCAAACCATGCCATCATTTACCACCTTCTCAGCCACCTCTCATTTGTGCTCTGGAAGTTTCTGCCTTTTCTTATGTTTTCCTTCACATTAAACTTTTATGTATCTGGCCTTGAAGGTAGATAGTGCTCAGAAATGCTGGCATGACCACTTCTGCTCTCTCAGGGACAGGTGGGGTGCAAGCACTCTACCTCCATTTCCCATGTCAGCCCTTCCCAGTTTCTCCCTGAAACAGGCTGGGATTGCAGCAGTCAGGGAGAGAGGATGCCAGTGTGGTGCCACCCTGTATTCTTCAGGGTTCTCCAGAGAAACAGAACAAGTAGGATGTGTGTGTGTGTGTGTGTGTGTGTGTGTGTGTGTGTGTGTGTGTGTGTGTATAAACAAGGAATTGGCTCACGCAGTTGTGGAGGCTGATAAGACCCAAGATCTGCAGGATGAGTTGACAGGAAAGTTGGAGACGCAGGAGAGCCAATGGTATAGCTCCAGTCCAAAGGCCAGCAGGCTTGACACTGGGAAGAGCCAATGCTTTAGTTCCAGTCCAGCAGCAGGAATTCGCTCTCACTTGGAGGGCAGGCGGCATTTGTTCTATTCGGGCATTTAACTGACTGGACCAGGCACACCCACATTATGGAGGGCAATTTACTTTACTCAGTGTACTGATTTAAATGTTGATCCTCATTCAAAAACACCCTCACAAGAACACCCAGAATAATGTTTGACCAAATATTTGGGCACCCCATTGGCCCAGTCAAATTGACACATAAAATTAACCGTCACAGGCCAAAAGTAGGATTTCACGTTGTCTTCGGTATTGGCTGACATTTCCTTTAAGCCCACCTGCTAATGGGCCCCGATGGGTCACGAGGGCAGTAAGAAGAGTAAGATGTAGTCTCTTCCCTTGGGGAATTTATGATTCATTGATATCAGTCCCTTAACATGGATTGTGCTTAACGGCTTTCAAAGTAGTGGCCATTATCTCACTGTGACCTCACGGCCCTCCCTCCCACCCAGGCAGGCAAGGGCGTGGGGTCCTCCCGACGCAGGTGAGGAAACTGCGGATCAGAGCCCCCAGGGGAGCTGGCCTAGAGCTCAAAGCTAATGTGAGACAGAACTGGGACCTAATCCCTAACCTTCCTGACCCTGCATCGTTTATTAAGAGAACTTCACTCTGCCAGGCGTTCGCACCTCTGTCTGCCGGTGCCTTCGTCAGCCCTTGAGGAAGGGCCCGGCCTCACACCTTCGTGGTCCCTCTGAGCAGCGCCTGGCAGCGAGCGTCCAACCCGCATCTGTCGAACACAGCTGCCCATAGCCTCCATCTCACATCCAACCTTCTCAGGCTCATACCTAATCATATTAAATTCATATTAATCCTACGAATAAGAACGCACGACCTGGGGGTTATTGTTTAATGGGTACAGGGTTTCCATTTTGTAAGATTAGAAAAGTTCTGGCGATGGATGGTGGTGATGGCTGTACCACAATGTGAATGTGCTTAATGCCATTGAACTCTACACTTAAAAATGGTCAAAATGGTAAAATTTTATGTTATATGTATTTTACCACAGTTTTTTTTTCTTAAAGGATTATGGGACCTGGATAAGCCATCTCTTTTCATTATTGATATACTTGGTCCAAAAAATAATTACCAGTTACAACTGTCATTGAGTCTATGGGCTCAAATATGTTGTGTTCTCATGCTAACATCCCCGTAGACATAGGGAGGGGGGCATGGGACCCCGTACGACCACTGAGTCAGGGAGACCAGACTAATGCAAGGGAACATGCGGGAGCTAACAATATGAGACAAAATGTCCAAGGCAGTGTTAAATAAATGATATAGACAAGAAATGCTGGCTTAAAATATCAGATCAACTTGGTTATTTATTGAGCATCCAGAATGATATAGGAATTCTACAAAACATAAAAAGGGCAAGACATACAAGTATAGTTTCCTTTGTTTTAACATTTCAAAATAGGTTTTCATTTCGGTTCAACTGAAGGAACCCCCAGACCCCAAAGCTAGGGGGCCGCTGATGGCTGGAGTCTGGCCCTGGAAGTTTTCGAGGTTTGTTCAGCAGGTCGTTGCCTCATTTTTGTTCCCGTGTTCCTGTTCTTCAGTTCCTGGAAGTAGCTGAGCGGAAGGCGACTGCGGCTCATCTCATGGTCTTTCTTCCCCAGGGTGAAAGGGAGCGGAGGGCAGATACTCACCCGACGAGTAGAAGACCTGTGGGAGCTTCATCCGTCCTTCGACATCGTGGTCAACTGTACAGGCCTTGGAAGCAGACAGCTTGCAGGAGACTCAGAGATTTTCCCTGTGAGGGGCCAAGTGCTCAAAGTTCAGGCTCCCTGGGTGAAGCATTTTATCCGAGATGGGAGTGGGCTGACGTATATTTATCCTGGCATATCCCATGTAACCCTGGGTGGAACTAGGCAAAAAGGAGACTGGAATCTGTCCCCAGATGCAGAAATTAGCAGAGATATTTTTTCCCGATGTTGTGCTCTAGAACCCTCTCTCCGCGGAGCCTGGGACATAAGGGAGAAGGTGGGCTTGAGACCCTCCAGGCCAGGCGTGCGGCTGCAGAAAGAGCTCCTAGCCCGAGACGGCCAGAGGCTACCTGTGGTCCACCACTATGGCCATGGGGCTGGGGGCTTCTCGGTGCACTGGGGCACTGCCCTGGAGGCTGCCAGGCTGGTGAGCGAGTGTGTCCATGCCCTCAGGACCCCTGGTCCCAAGTCAAAGCTGTAGATGTCATGAAATGACAGCAAATGGCTCTGGAGACTATTGATCAAAGCACACTTTAAAGCATCAGAACAGGTTCAAATACTTTTTTCATTGCATGAAAGTTTAGGCATTTCTTTGTTTTCAAAATCAGAAATAATGCAACAGATAGACTTAAGAAGCCTAGTACTGATGACACAGGGCATAAAGCTCTTATTTTGTTGTTAAAAATACTTGTTATAGAGTAAGATTTCTTTTAGATCTGATGTCCAAGGACCTATGCTAATTTATATGAATGCTGGAAGCTAGAGGGATTTTGACATTTTGGAGCTGGTAAATCCACAGAAAGAGATAATGTATGGAAAAATCACTGTCAGTGGCAGAGCTACCTGTGAACCTCTTAGATTATTATAGTGAGCATTATAATCCCTCTAAATACATAGTGATCACAAAATGCAGACTTGTTACATTTAATTGAAGACAAAGTATGAGGACTGTTAGCACTAGTGGCAACCTTTTCCTCCCCTCAGCTGGTAATGATGGTAGAAGACTGAGAAGAAGTTGCTTAGGGATGTGGCATCAATTCAGTAGCTGCCCAGAGTTGATCACCTAAGTGTGGTACATTCCATTACCACAAATGACTGCGAGCTGGCTTGCTGTGTAGTCAACTTTGCCTACGCATTTTTGAAGATTAAAAATCATGTGCAGCCAAAGAGCTAATTTGCTAATTAACATGGAACAATCATTCTGCATGACATCGAAGCAAAGGGCGTTCTGTAGGTTGTTAAAACGTATTGGGGAAAAGAGGAGTGTGTCTCACGACAAAATTAGTTTGGGGACTGCTGAGTTAAATAAATTTTGCCTGGCTTTTTGTCTCAGGCATGCCCAGAGCCTTTAACCTGCTCATGTGTTTTGTGAATCTTCAGGAGGGTGTTTGGCTTGGGTGAATGGAAAGTGAGATGCTATTCATTGAGCTAAGGAGGCTTGAGGAGAAATGAATTTAATTTTAACTTTTGAAAGAGATGACCTATGTTTAGTGATAATAGGTTCTATTTTGGACATCCTGGCTGAGATGTGGGGTTGGCAATGAAAACGGGAAAGAGAAAGTTCCCAGCACAGCTCTGGCTTTACTGTCTTGATCATTGAGCGTTGGCATATGATTTTGCTTAAAGAGAAGATTCTGCCGGTAGAGGCTGAGAGAAGCATATATTGGATGATCTTTATCACTCCCTGCAGTATTAAAATTCTTAAGTTTAATCAAGTGTGGGAGCTTTTCTATAGATTTCCACCAGGGGGTGGTGTTGTATCAAATTCAGATAAATTGGTATGTTTGAATATTTAGAAATGACTAGAAATAAAAAATGGATACCAGGTGTGCAGAGCGTGTGTGATTCTTTTGAGGCTTTGGAGTTTATATGTCCAAAATGCAATGATTCTGAATTCTTTTTAAAGAATTTGTGAAATGTATAAGTTTAGATAGGCTGAAAACACACATACGCATCTCACATAATCCATGAGAAATAATGTTATGATAAAATGTCATTTCAAGGGGTGGAAACAAAATTTTTAATAGTTAAAAATAAAAAGGAAGGATACTGCTCAGAATAGGTAGCATTTCAGTGGTTTCGCAGTGGTTTTTGGTGTATTCCTTTGTGCTATATGCTGCTGCATTTTTATTTTGTGTGCACAGGCTCACACTCTAAGACCTTTGCCTATTTGCTACCCTAGTTTAGCTTCACGATGCATTTTGTATTTCTAAAACTCAGCACTATGAGACTGCAAGACTGGAGGGGCTTCTTGAAAAAGTCGTCATGGCTGCATGCCCTGATTTCATTTTCGCTAATTGCTAAATATTTGCTCCCAGTATTTCTCAAAGATTATTTATTTTGGTCAGTATCTGCCAATCTGGGCTGCACCTTAGAATCACCTTGGTAAGTTCTGAAACAATATTGATGTCCAGCCCTGCTTTATGAAATTAGACTCTTTGTGGGTGGGTTACAACTATGGCATCAGTATTTGCTCAAAGCTGTCCACAGGGTTCTAACTGACAACCGGTGCTGAGAACCACTGAACATTGTTTCTCTTCTCTCCTCGTAGGGCTCCCCTGCTAGTATAACTACAATCCTTCCCTTCCTTCTTTGCCACCTTGGTGTGTTGAGCTAAGAGGTATGTCCTCACTTAAGCAGGTATTTACTTAGGCACTGCTTGGCAAGGTGGCCTATAGTAACTAGCTGTCTCCCTAGAAAAGCTGAGAATCACCTTGCTGGCTATATAGGTCAGCTTCCCAGAGACACCTGTCTGTCATTGTCTGAAAAATGAGAGACTGAATATACAAATGGACAAAGTCCAGATCATACAAAAATAAAACTCTGACTTACAACCTGCAGCAACCTGCCCTCCACCCAAAATCAATCCCCTTTTCTATAATACATGACATAGGAAGCCAGCCTGCTATATGTCAGCCTTGCAGGAAGCCAGATTGCCATCTCTAGGAGTAATCCAGAAAGCTGAACAATAACTTCTGTAACAATTGGCACAAAATGACCAGGACTTGATTAATAACTGACAGCTCCCCTAATTTTTATTCCCACTTCTAACTCAGGATCAACCAGAGAAAGCAAAATACGCACCCCTGACCAATCACATAGGGTGCTCTGCTTCTTGTTAACCTGCCTGCATCTTCACATGCCAACAGTCTCCAATCAGGGCATATCTGACATCTTCTCTTTTTTGTACTATAAAGCTTTCACGCTCCTCTGCCCACCTTTGAGTCTCTGCCAAACACAAGTGACAGTGGCTGACGCCTTTGCTACAGCAAAATCTAAAGAAATAGCCTTTGCTTTTCTGATTTGGTTGGTGTATTAGTCAGGGTTCTCCAGAGAGACAAAACCAAGAGGATATAGATAGATACATAGAAAGAGATTTATTATGAGGCGTTGGCTCACATGGTTCTGGAGGCTGAGAAGTCTCACGATCTGCTGTCTGCAAGCTGGAGGGCCGGAAAAGCCAGAGGTGTGGTTTTAGTCAGAACCCGGAGGCCTGAGAAGCAGAGGAGCCAATGGAGTAGGTCCCAGTCTGAGTCGGAAGGGCAGGAGTGTGGGGAAGATGGGTGTCCCAGCTCCAGCAGAGAGCACACTTGTCTTTCCTCACCTTCTCGCTCTGTTCAGTCCCTCAGCACACTGGTTGACGCCTGCCCACCCTGGTGAGGACAGTCTTTACTCACTTTATTGATTCAAATGCTTATCTCTTCTGGAGATGTCCTCATAGACACACCCAGAAATGATGTTTTGCCGATTATTTGGGCCCAGTAGAGTTGACACATAAAATCAACCATCACAGCTGGTCTTTGTTTATTTCTACAAAGACTCTATGTTTATATAAGTGGAGGTCCTCCCCAGTGATCCGTGCTACCGCCCAAGAATGGACTTTTTCTTTTTTTTCCTGCCTTGTTGTCTATTTCAGAACATCTTTTATGTTTTTCTGAACATGGAGAACAACTGATGTCCTCCTCAAATCCCAGCTTTTAAGTGTCTGACACAAAGGTGGCTGAGTTTGTGCCTACTGGGCCTGTGACCCAGGGGAACAAGGCTGCTTGCAGGCCCTGGCATTGCCTGCACGGCGCTGCTTCAGCCAAGCTTATGCACAAACTTTCAGGATATTTGCTTAGGAAGAAAAGAAATTAAACAGAAAGGCCATAGCCCAGTTGGACACAATTGCACATAGGAAAAGCTATTTTAAAAAATGACGTATATGCTTCCTTCTATGGAATAGATGCATTCAAATCAGCTGATATTCAAACCAGTTTTTCTCAATCAATTAAAAGCTTTTGGAGAGAAGGAACAAAAGGAGGGTGGGACCTCTGTCCACTGGGAGTTGTAGTTCTTGGAAACCTCTTCTAGGACTCTCATAACTTGTCAAATATTTGAAATAAATGTAGCGTTTGTAGTCTTTTTTTCTTCTTCTTGATTTCTCTCATCTTTCTCCTTGAAGATGTAAATGATGGAGACTGTTTCCTCAGGATATCATTTACTCAAGAAAAGCCGATTGAGATGTTAAGTGGTCTCTTTCTTCTTGAAAAATCTTAGCGGTTTGCCACCAGGCCTGGGGGCTGTATTATCCTAAGTGACTTTGCTGGCTATAAATCACAGCCCTAAGTCACCAAAGGAAATGAGTTAACCAGTTCCCTCAAAAATATAAGCAATGTTTCTTCAATTATTAGCAGAACAATTGACTTCCATCTGCTCAGGGCACCTGCCTGCCTGGCCTGTAGCCATGCTTCCCACAATTCCACCTCCCAGAGCCTGTTCCCCTTGAATTGTCATTTTTACCCTGGTGCATGTGCTCTGGCATCAGTCCATGTCCAAACTTTTCGTTTATCCTAGTATTTTACCTTCTGCACAGATCCAGGTCGTCCGGCAGTATTACTCAGCATGGTCGATGTGGCCTGCTCTGTCCAGGCCTCCTTTCCTGGGAAATCTGCTCAGACCTGGGGGACTCACTAGTGGGCAGTATCCCCCACACCCTCTCTGGTTACAGCTTATTGGATCAGAGGAAATTATCAGTTAAGCTTAGGTTCAGTTGCCCCCCCCCTACAAATATTTGCTTAAACCAGATGGGCATATATTTCTCTCTCACATAAAATAAGCCCAGATATAGGGAGTTTAGGGCTGGTGTGGGGTCTCCAATGATCATCAGTGACACAGGCTCCTTCCTGCTCACACTCTGCTGTCTCAAGGGTATGGCCCTTGTGCTCAGGTCCAAGATGGCAGTCAGAGCTCCAGCCATCCCATCATCACATCCACATCCCGGAAACTTCCCAGAAGACTCACATAACATTTTTGTTTATAGTTCAGTGCATGGGATTTAGTCTCAGGGTTACACTGAGATTCAAGGGAAGCTAGGAATCTCGTCTCTTGGCTTGGTGGCAATGCAAATATCAAGGTTTTAGCAGCCTCTGCTAAAAGTATCAAACCATAAATTGGGTTAAGCTGGTCAGGTTAAACATTTGTACTAAGAGATTCTAAAACTATTTTCTGGTGATGGCAGGCTCTGGGGAGTCCAGGGTGTTCAGGTTTACACAGAGGAAGCCAGGCAAGAGAGAGGAGGAAGAGAAAAGCACAGTGACAGAAGCCCCAGGGCCCTGTCCTGCTGCTCAAGCACTGAGGGTGACCTTGGTTTCTGACCCAGTCCCACTTCTTATGAGGTCTTACTGGACAGTAAATTCTTTATTTCTGAGAAACCTCATATTTTTAAAAAGCTGTTTTTTAAAAATTGTTGTTTTAAGAATGTAAAGGAGAGGAAAGCTGGAATGTTTCAGATCCCTCCAAAAAGAAGATTTTTTTCTGTAATAATTTCAATAATAAGAATCCTTTTTATAGATAAAGAGTAAAATCTAAACATCACAGATCAAATCCACTGTTTGGTAACTTGTGGCTTTTGCTTAAAAGTCTTGTCCCTTTTTTACTTTCCTATCACCAACTCAGGATATTTACATATTCTTACTTCCTTTATCATTATTATCACCCATTGTTAGGACAAACAAAGTCAGAGCTACTCAAACAAAGCCTTTGGGTTGCTTAGCCAACAGTTTTTCTTGTATTCTAGACATTATTAGTTCTTAGTCAAGATCTTGTTATAACCAATGGTGACCTTAGTAATACAGATTATGTTCTTTAATTAATAGAATTGAGTTATAACCAATTTGTAGGGCAAAAACTCATATATTAAGAGTAATGCCTGTATTTAATTTCCTGTCCATGGATTCTATGCCATATGTGGCCTTCTGGATCCTTGAGTGTGGCGTTTTGACTAAATCCAAATTTTACAGATCAAAACCTTTTAATAGGGCCGGGCGCTGTGGCTCACGCCTGTAATCCTAGCTCTTGGGAGGCCGAGGCGGGCGGATTGCTCAAGGTCAGGAGTTCAAAACCAGCCTGAGCGAGACCCCATCTCTACTATAAATAGAAAGAAATTAATTGGCCAACTGATATATATATAAAAAAAAAATTAGCCGGGCATGGTGGCGCATGCCTGTAGTCCCAGCTACTCGGGAGGCTGAGGCAGGAGGATCGCTTGAGCCCAGGAGTTTGAGGTTGCTGTGAGCTAGGCTGACGCCACGGCACTCACTCTAGCCTGGACAACAAAGTGAGACTCTGTCTCAAAAAAAAAAAAAAAAAAAAACCTTTTAATAAAGTTTAGATTTGGTCGAGGGGCCACACTTGGGGATCTAGAGGGCCATATGTGGCATTGAGGCTGGAGGTTCCTTACCCCTGAATGGGGAAATATTTTATCATGACCCCCCTTTTCCCTTCAGCCCAGGTAAGTGGATTCTCTCCTTTCAACCCAAATTCTTGTCTAAGTCAGTTTATAAAAA